TTCAGTAGTTCGTTATTGGACAGACTCTAATGTTCGTTCACCTCACACTCTAGAGTACAATACTAAATTCATGTTGAATCCGTCTCGGTTGCCGTTCCCCTCGCGGCAGCTGGATGGCTATGACAATACAATGAAGACAATGTATACACCCACGTTATACGATACTTGTCCTTGTGTGCGTGACATGTCAATGCTCATATATGTACACACACAGACACAGACGGCAGGGTGAAGCATGTAATGGTGGTGAGCTGCTTCACAATATGATCGTGAGAATACGTTGATGTGTTCTGCACACGAACACAACCACCAACTCACATACACGACCACAATGCGCGAATGTCCCAACGATCACATCAATACACACGCACTTACCTACATGCATATAACCCTAAACTCTAAACCCTGCCACTCTGCAACATATATACACCTATATCAGCGGGGATCGGGTTCTGCTGGAGCGCTTCTTCCGTGACAGTTGTGAGGCGGTGGTGTGGTATTGGGCTGTGTGTCAGTGTGCGTCGTATGCCGTGCGCAATCGCCTGAAGACCAGTTTTGGCGGGCCTTCTCAGACTCTGATTGCCTTGGAAACGGGCTTTTCTGCCATGGTGAAGGGTACGTCGCTTGCGTGTGGTATTAACTGGTCATATGCAACTATCGTTTGGTATGAGCTGGACATGTGTATCGTACGCATGATATTGGTTGATCATATGTAACTAATGTGTGATATGATCTGGACATGTGTATCGTATTCGTGGTATTGATTCATCATATGCAACTAACGTATGCCATGAGCTGGACATGTGTATCGTATGTGCTATTAATTTGTCATACGCATTGAATCTCCTATGAATTTTCTCACTGCTTGGGTGTTAGTTAGTTCATGCGCCATCATTCGTTCATGCGTGATACAGAATGCGCCCGTATGTCTATCGAACGCCACTTGTGCCCTGGCTTAGTCCATTTCCGAATGCTTAGATGAAAACCCTAGACGCTAAAATCAAACAAAGAGGAATTTGTTCAGTACCTATGTTACTGCAATGCCAATTCGGAATGATCGTTTGCTGTCAGCTGTGCTCCTGTGTGTGCGATGACCACTGTTGCTTGTCTATTCACTTCAATACAATAGGCGTGTTTAAATGGTTGTCTATGTACATACATGAATATGCCAGTTGCTCTCATGTCATGTGGATGCGTTGTCTGCCCTTCACTTGCTTATACATCCCTGTACAACCCATATGTCAATATCTACGTCTCATATTCCCTCTCACTTATAAAAACCCTAAAACCCAGGCCCTGTTGGCGCTGGCAGAGATGGTCTGACGCACACCCAACGCCTGGCTATCAGCACAGTGTTCGTGGAAGTGCTGGAGAAGCACGTGTTAACGGCCGTATTTGGCTCTGGTGGACTGGGCTCGCCCGAGAAGAGCGTCGCTGTGTTCTACGCAGCCAACTCGAAGGTACCACTTATAAATATATATATATATATATAAATATACATATACATACAAACCTACACAAACACAAACACACACATACACACACACACACACACACACACACACATATATATATATATA